GATGTCTACCGAGTAAACAGAATATACATTCTTTTCGGCTGCACATGGGTCATTCTCCAAAATAGCCCACATGCTAGCTCATAGAACATGGTTAAGTAAATGCAAAGGAATTGAAGGTATCCCCTATATTAGACCATAATGTAATTAAACTGGAGGTCAATAGCATAAGAAACCACAAGAGCTTCACAAACACATGGAAATTGAATAACACTTTGCTGAACAACCATTGGGTCACAGAGGAAATTAAAGAAGAAATTAGATTGTTTCTACAATTAAATGATAATGCAAGTACAACATACAGTAATCTATGGGACACAATGAAGGCAGTTCTATGAGGGAAATTCATAGCAGTAAAGGCCCATACTAGGAAAACAGAGTGAGCTCAAATAAACAGCCTAATGCTTAAATTTAAGCTCCTAGAATAAGAAGAGCATGACAAACTGAAAGCTTGTACAAAGGAGGAAATTACAAAGATCAGAGCAGGAATTAATTCAATGGAGACTAAGAAAATGATACAAAAAAATCAGCAAATCAAAGAGTTGGTTTCTCCAAAGAATAAATAAAATCAATAAACTCAGCCTACCTTATCAAAAAAAAAAGGAAAGGCTTAAATCCATGAAATTAAGAATGAAAAAGGTGAAGTCACAACAGATCCACCAATCCACCAGAAATCTGGAGGATCATCAATACCTACTTTGAAAAGCTGTACTCTAATAAAATGGAAAATACAGAAGAAATGGACAGATTACCAGATACATATGAACTTCCAAAGTTGAATGAAGAAGATATAAAAAGTCTAGACACCCCGATTACGTTCAGTGAAATTGAAAATGAAATTAAAAATTTACCAACAAAGAAAAGCCTAGGTCCTGATGGCTTCACTGCTGAACTCCACAAGACATTTAGAGAAGAACTGTTGCACTACTCTTTAAACTTTTTAATAAAATTAAAAGGGAAGCAACACTTCCAAATTTTTTCCTGGAAGCAAGCATTACTTTGATTCCAAAACCAGGGAAAGGCCAAACCAAAAATGAGAACTACAGGCCGATCTCCCTAATGAACATAGATGCAAAAATCCTCAGTAAGATAGTGGCAAACAGAACACAGAGGGTCATCGAGAAAATCAACCACCCTGACCAAGTCAGATTTATCCCAGGATGCAAGGATGGTTCAACATATGTAAAGCAGTATATGTAATACACTATATTAACAGATTCAAGGACAAAAGCCATGTGATCATCTCAATAGATTCAGAAAAAGCATTTCACAAAATTCAATACCCATTCATGATAAAACCCCTATAGAAAATTAGAATAGATGGTCTTTATCGCAACCTGATAAAAGTTATCTATGAAAAGTCAACAGCCAATATCTTACCAAATGGTCAAAAATTGAAAACCTTCACACTAAAATCAGGAACAAGACAAGGATGTCCACTATCACCACTTCTGTTCAATATAGTTCTACAAACATTAGCCACAGCAATTAGACAAGGGAAAGAAATAAAAGGAATAAAGATAAGAAAAGAAGCTAAATTGTCACTATTTGCTGATGATATGATACTCTACATAGAAAACACACACACACACACACACACACACAAAAAAAAAACTGTCCCAAGATTTCAAGATCTTAACTGACAAAAAAAGGACTTAATTGACAGATTCAGTAGAGTAGCTGGATACAAGATCAACACTCAAAATCTAATAATAGCCTCTTGTACACAAATAACAGACTCACTGACAGAGAAATTAGGGAAATAATTCCTTTCACAATAGCATCCCCAAAAAATGAAATATCTAGGAATCAATCTAATGAAGGAGACAAAAGACCTCTACACTGAAAACTACAGCGCTCTGAAAGAATCAACATAGTGAAAATGGCCATACTTCCAAAACTGCTCTACAGATTCAACACAATCCTGATTGAAATCCCAACAGTATATTTCACAGAACTTCAGAAAACAATCCAAAAATTCATTTGGAACCAGAAGAATCCTAGAATAGCAAAAGCCATTCTAGGCAACAGAGACATCACAGGGGTATCACAATTACCAACTTGAAACTATACTACAAAGCCATTGTGATAAAAACAGCATGGTACTGGCAAAGAAACAGATCTGAGGATCAGTGGAATAGATTAGAAGATGCAGAAACAACACCAGACACACTTAACCACCTCATCTTTGACAAAGGAGTCAACCATCCTCACTGGAGGAAAGATAGCCTCTTTAATAAATTGAGTTGGAAAAACTGGATTTCAACTTGCCACAGATTAAAACTAGATCCCTACCTTTCACCATACATTAAACTAAAATCCAAGTGGATTAAAGATTTAAATATCAAAACAGAAACACTAAACTTACTGGAAGATAAGTTAGGTAGAACTCTCAAAGACATTGGCATAGGAAAAGACTTTATGAACAAATCCTCAGCAACATGTGAACTAGCACAAAGAATCAACAACTGGGATCTCATCCTATTAAATTTTTGCAGTGCAAGAGAAACCACCAACAGAGCTAAGAAACAACCTACAATGTGAGAAAAAAATTTTTACCAGCTGCTCCTCAGACAAAGGACTACTATCTAGAATATATAAAAAACTAAAAAAATAAGATCCCCCAAATATAAAGACCCAGTGCAAAAGTGGGCATCTGAAATGAGCAGACATTTCTCAGACAAAGAAGTAAAAGCAGCAAATAAACATATGAAAAAATGTTCCACATCACTGGTCATTCAAGAGATGCAGATGAAAACAACACTGAGATTCCACCTCACCCCAGAGAGAATGGCTGCTGTCAAGAAATTAACCAATAACAAATGCTGGCAGGGTCATGGGGAGAAAGGAACCCTTCTCCACTGTTGGTGGGAGTGCAGACTGGTGCAACCACTATGGAAATCAATATGGAGATACCCCAAAGAACTAGGATTAGAGGTCCCATTTGACCCAGCCATCCCTCTGCTGGGTATCTTTCTAAAAGAATTAAAAGAATCATACCACAGCGATATATGTGCACCCATATTTATAGCGACACAGTTTATAATAGCTGAAACTTGGAAACAGCCCAATTGCTCATCAACTGGAGACAGGATAAAGAAGATGTGGTTTTTCTATAAAATGGAATACTACTCAGCCATAAAGAATGAGAAACTAGAGACATCTATAGCTAAATGGATGCACATTGAGGCCACACTCTTAAGTGAAATAAATAGGACACGCTTGAATAAATACCAAATAGTTTCTCTGATGTGAAAAGCTGAAAGTGTATATAAGGTTCAAATGGTATAATTGATAGTGTGGAATAGGAACAAATGGGCTAAAGAAGTGGGAAGGGCAGGGGGAAAGAAATAAGGGGAATGGAAAAAGGAAAAAAAATGGAAACAAAGTCTTTGAAAATAGGGAAGGGTGGAGGGGGTGAAGGGAGGATGGGGGAATGGGGAAAAAAACAAGAACCAAGATATTTCGTGTAAAGGTACAAGATCCCAATCATAAATGTAACTGTATTGTGTGCTTTAAATGTACCAATAAACTTAATGGGAAAATATTTTTTTCAAATAAAATAAAAAGAACTTTGTTGGGCTGGGGATTTAGCTCAGTGGTTCCACCGCCTGCCTCGCAACCACAGATCTCAAGTTCGATCCCTGGTACAAAAAACAAAACAAAACTAAACAAACTGTGTCACGATTGGTGCATCTAGGCCAGTCAGCATCTCAGGCTTGCCCTATGTCTTTCTGGCTGTGCCCCTCTATTCCCCTACGCCCAAGGTGCTGTGCAGTCCAGGAGACAGAGGGAGATTGGCCATGAGGGCAAAAATAAACCAAACTGATGGTCAGGACCTGGAAGAGCTAAAGATCACCGTTGAAAATTAGAATGCAAAGGGCAAACAACAGGTCTCTGTATGAACTAGAACAGGGATGGTGAAGCTTTTAGAGACCGGGTGCGCAAACCGCATCCCCAAACCCACTTATTTCTGGTAGAGGGCCAGCCCTGCAATTAAACCTGAATCCGGAGGTTTTAGTTACTGAGCCGTACCTGCTCCAGACCGCAGTGCGGATAAACTAGAAACCAGTCTCACATAGCTGGAAAATGCCCAAATATTTGGCAACTAAATGAAGTCTAAACAGCAGACGAATCCCAGGGGAAATTTCAAGGGAATTTTAAAAGTATTCTCAGCTAAATGAAGACGACGAAAGCAGCCCAGCCCTGCACCACCTGGACCGGAGCGCAAAGGAGACCCAGGCTTCCAGGGCTGGCAGGAGCGACGGAGACCTCTGCTTCCCCTCCCTGTGTCCCTGGCCACGGCATTAGCAGGAAGGGGGCAGAGCTCAAGCTGCGGGGCTCGACAGCTCTGCGTCAGTAGTCGGCACTGCTTTGAACGCTGGGCCTCATTTACATGAAGGGTCTACAACAGGCAAATCTAGAGGCTGAAAATAGGCTCGGAGCTGCCTGCGCGGGAAGAGGTGCCGGCCTCTGTGGGAGACGAAAGGTCCTACAGTCCAGGGAGGCGGTGTCGAGAGCCCCGTGAATGTGCCAGACTCCACTCTGGCAGGGCAGTTGTGTGGTGTGTGGATTATGTTTCAATAGTGTGCTTTGTTTACTGTTTTAAAATGTTTACCATGTTTACTGGTTCACGTTTGCAGTCCGAGTACAGGGCACATCCTCCTCCTTTTTCCGTTCCCCTCCCTTTCCCTTTATGAAATAAACCCAACACCCAGGCTCAAACATCCCGGGGTTCCTCTTGGATGAGAGACCCCCAAGTACAGGGAAATAGAGTAAAATAAAAGATAGGTAACGGGAAACAGGAGGTAGATCTTTTGCAAACGGGAAGAGGACCGAGACGTTTCTTTTCTTCACGAGAAACCCCTAGAATTGTTTCCAGCCCCCACAAAGCCTGGAACCCCTCCCAGGCATAGGCGAGCGCGTCCTTTGAAGTCCACGCTGGGAAACCCGCCGAGCCTGCACCCCTCCGGCCTGCCGCCCCCTTCCCGACACCTGCGCAGGACGCGCCGGCCTCCAGCGCACCCCGCGTCGGTGCCGGACCACGAGACTTAGACTTGGTCCCTGCGGTGATTCTGGTCGCGAACCGAAGTGGACGAGAACCGAATCGAAATCGGTGATTAGGCTCAGCCTTGACCTTGTGGGGAAATGAGATTCGGTTCTTGTCCAGTTTAGATTCCAACCAGAACCCTGGAGAGAACCGAGGGCCAATGTTTTTGTTTTTTGTGGTTTTGTTTGTTTGCTTTTTCTTGTTCCAGGGTTCGAGCTCAGGACCTGGTGCTCGGAAGGCGGGCACTGTGCCACTGAGCTGCATCCCCGGCTTTTTTTTAATCAGGGCTGACTCGAGCTTACCTCTTGTATTACTTCATCGGTAAGAGAGCCTTCCTACATTTGCTAATATTTTTTCAGCTATAAAAAATGAAAAGCTGAGCTCCAAATGCTACAGCAAGAGGGGAGCTGGTTGCCTGCCTGGTAGGACGTCGCTGTGTGGGAAGTCTCCGCGGCTGGTTAATCCGGTGACTTCACGACGCCCCCAGGGTTCTCCTCTTCCTCGGCACATCACGTGCTCTCAGTCACAAGGGGCGTCCAGAGGCAGAGAGGGGATCGGCTCTTCCTGAGGACTTTTTTTTAATTTAATAGGTAACATTTTACCCAAAGCCACCGTCCTCCTGGAGGGTCCCTGCCTGTCTCGTCGACCAGACTTTGGTGACATGAATTCCCCAAGCCGCTGACTGACAGGGAGACTAGAACCCGAGGACTGGCTCAGAAAATCAGCCTTCACCCCCCACCTCCATCCCGGGGCTTGAGCATGCTTTACCTGAAGCAGAGGAGTTCACGGAGCAGCCTGGCCAGACAGTTCAGGGTGTGGTAGGAAAGACGATAAGGGACTGGGGACCACCAGGTGATGCCTTGGGGCGATGACACACGTGTCACGGGCTAAGATGTGTGTCCCACAGGGGCACTGCCCACAGTGCCAGCCTCAGCCTTCTTCCGGCTGAGCTCTCCCGTCCTGGCACAGCTGGTCTGCGCACCGAGGCTGGAGGTCAGGACTGGCCAGTCTCACCCAGACCAGGGTGTCTGCTGTGGGTGATAAGCAGGGCTCTGGGCAGGACAGGCGTGAAACGCTGGGGCCCAGAGGGAGCCATCGGGGGTGTCTCTGGCCCGTACCAGGGGCTTGCAGGTGAGGACCCCATGCCAGCACCAGACCCAGCTCCCATAGTACCTGACAAGAGTGCCACACCAGGCAAGAGAGTGTCTAAACATTTCAGAAAGCTAGAGGAAGCCGGCCGTGTAATTCCAGCACTTAGGAGGCTGAGGCAGACAGATCACAGAGAGTTCAAGACCAGCCTGGGCTATACAGTGAGTTGAAGTCCAGCCTGGACTACTTAGAAAGACCCTGTCTCAAAAAAGAAAAACAAAAAAGCTAGAACCAGGTGTGGTGGTGCGGCACGCCTGTAATCCCAGCACTTGGGAGGCTGAGGCAGAAGGAGCTGTGAGTTTAGTGAGTTCCAGGTCAGTCTCAACTACATAGTGAGACCCTGCCTCAAAAATAAATAAATAAATAAATAAATAAATAAATAAATAAATAAATAAATAAAAAGCTAGAGGAAAGTATTTTTAATGTTTTCACCATTAGGAAATGATAAATATTTGAGGAGATATGTTTATCTTGCTTTAGACATTTAGACCTCACAGATACTGCTTCACTGTGTATAATTTTTGGAGTTCTCCTGTTTTTTGTTTTTTATAGCTTCAATGGGTTCTGATCCTTACGCCTGGATTTTGACTATAAATTCACGTTTTCTGTCCTGTTATTGCCTATTGTTATATCTGGCAACTCTGGTCTATGGTGGTCAGACGGAGAGGGGCAGGGAGGGAGGGAGAGAAGGGGAGGAGGATGGACAGGGGCCGGGAAGGCGGGGGGAGCCAGTCTGCATGTGTTTGTGTATCAGTTAAAAGTACATTTAATTTTTAAAAATTCATAGAAAGGTGGTCACTTCTTACCATAAATTAAATGACAAGGAGACAAGCATAATTCTAATTAATCTTGATACATTGTTCCCCTGAAACCCCACCTAATTCTCAATATTTCTGGTGTTCTAAACTAAAATTTGGGGGGTGGACCAGGAATTGAACTCAGGACCTTGTGCTTGTGAGGCAAGCGGTGGCACCACTGAGCTAAATCCCTGGCCCTACAATATTTTAAATTAATACTTATTTTACTTTTTCCTGTTCATTTATATCTTCATAATCAATAGTTAACATGTTTTCAGTGTTTTGACCAACTTTGTTTTATTTTGTTTTTTGAGACACTGTGGGACCCTAGATATTTAGTCCCAGAACCCTCCCCACCTAGCTTAACTAACTCCATTTTAAGGTGGGAAACCATAAAACGAAGTGCCAGAACTGACCCCGATGAATTCAGGCAGTAAAAATGTGCTCGGTTTGCTTAGTTTACTTAGCTGTGTTAAGCACAGAGCCTGGCGGATGGGAAAAAGGCAATTCCAACCTCAAAGAAGAAGAACAGGAGGCTCTATAGAGATAAGAAGAGCACACCGCATTCCTGGGCACACTGACCTCTCTTTGAATCAGCCCCCTCCCTGATGTAGTCATTTTCCCACTTTTGCAAGTGCCCCAGCAACATCCAATAGATTTAAAAGGTTAAAAAAAGAAGCCAATAGAATAGAGAATTTCAAGCCACCCAAACCCTATAAAAATAGGCTAAATTAGTGGGTCGGGACTTCTAGTTTGAAGCCACTGCATGGGTGACACTGGGGGTCCAGGCTCAAGCTTGCAATAAACTCCTCTTGTATTTACATCAGAAGAGTTTCCTGGTGGTCTTCTTGGGGATTTTGTGACGTGGGCACAACAACACTATCTTGCAACATAGTTCAGGCCGGCCTTGAGCTTGCTATGTCGCCCACCCTAGCCTCCAACTCACGGCGATCCTCCTGCCTCAGCTTCCCAAGTGCTTGGATTACAGGCGTGTGCCACCATGCCCTGCTCTGAGGCAAGTATTTTAACAGTCACACGTGCCCGTTGGTCACCAAGGCCACCTGGCACTGTTGGAGCCCACACAATCTGGGCTGGGGTCTCCACTACCATACAAAGGAGGGTCGTGGAACACTGTGCCCTCTGGCCACTCCCCGCTTTGTGACACACAATTCTCCTGCTTGCCGGGAACCCCTGTCCCTGATCTCCAGCTGCCCTGCCCAGGGCTCTACTCCGTGTCTTTCCTGGGCAAACTGTGTTCCTGCGTCCTCTCTCTCTGGCTGTTGTAAAGGCTGATGCTTCTCTGTCCTGGGTGGCGATGACAGCGCTGGAAGTGGTAAAGAAAGGGGGCGCTGCGGAGTGGCGGAAGGAAGCAGGGTACTGAGGTACCCGTATTCACCGCCTGGGGTGGGACCAGGCCCAAGGAGCCAGCCCACTCAGGCAGGGTGGGCAGCTATGAAAACGTCTGGCACCCAGGAAGTAAGCGGTTCCAGGCACGGCCTGGGTTCTGGGGCAACCGGGTCATCGGGTTTCAGCTGTACCCTTCGAGCCGTGATTCTAGGGAAGCAACTCACAACACTGTTTTCTGGGGAAGACACCGCATTTCGGACAAGAATGTTTTCAGCCCCACAAGCTCCTCTGTCAGGGCAGGTCAAGCTGGAAGCCAGGCTGCTCCGAAGTAAAATCTTCACGATTTCCTCGGAAAGCTGGGCAATGGGGCACACGCCTGTCATTCAGCATCTCGGGAGGCTGAGGCCGGAGAATCACAAGTGCAAGCCCAGCCTGGGCAACTTGGTCACTTAGCAAGACCTGTCTCCGAATCTTTGGCAGAGCTTGTCTTGCTTTGGAAAACTGCAGTATTGCTGAAAAGTCGTGCCTACGTCCGTCTGACACCTCCCATGTGCACCCTGCGTGGGGGTCCTCCACAGCCGCACGGTGGGAGCTGGTTTTTGCAAGAAGACAGGGTCGCTGGTCCCTGCTTAAAGGTTCTTCGGTGCCGGGGTGGGTGTTGCCTTCGGCCTGGCTCGCGGGGGCCCAGGTTGGCTGCACCGAGAGAGCCGCACACTTTGATAACAATAAAGTTCAATCCCACTCTGGTTCCCGCTCCAAGGCGGAGACGCCTTACACACGAGCACTTCGTCCCACCCACCGGGCGGCGCCGCGGAGCTGGCTCTGGTCCGCGAGGACGCCGAGGAGGCCGCGC